CACCCCAGAAATTGGCAGCACTTGGCTGCAAGTTGGCAAAAACCACTCGAATCCATGAGAAGCGAACTCGAGGTCTGTTGGGGGGGTATGAGGCCCAGAATACCCAAAACCATCCAAAAAACACGAAAATCCACACAAAAAACGGTGTTTAGCGTGTTTTGGGTGGTCTTTTTTTCGATCAAAATTTTTGCACATTTAGCCACAATTTAGCCACAACATTGTGGCTAAAGTTGTGGCTAAATGGGCCACAATGTGGCAAGTTGTGGCTAACCAGCCCTGTGTGAATCCAGGGATCGACGGGATGGAGTTGGTTGGGAGGTTGGATTCCTGGAGTAAAATAATGTCGATGTTGTACTTGGCGATGATTTCCAGCACAAATTTTCGTCGTTGGGTCCAGCTGTTGCAGTTGAATATAAGAGCCTTCAAGCTTGTCTCGGGACCAGGGTGCGGCTGGATGTCGCCACAAGTGAGAAGCGACTTGCCGTGCGGGTTGCAGCGAGGATGTACGAGAGGCTTGAATGTCGGTAGTCTTGGAGCGTCATGGCGCAGGTCGCTTCAATGCTTCTTACTCGTCTTTTTGTTCGCGGTGGACTTCGGGGATACCGAACCTCCCGGAGGAGTCGGCTCCCTCGTCCTTTTGCCGTCCGAGCTGCGTGTTTTAGGAGAGGGGGAGTTCTGTGCTACGCTGCTAGACGGCATTGATTCATCAGCAGCCTTGACCGAGGTGAAGCTAGCCATCAGCGCTTTCGTTTCGTCTTGGTTCCTCTGTAGCATGTCAGACATGCTCGCGACGAGGCTTGCCGTCATTTTTTGCACGGAGAAATTCAAATCGTTCTTGAGTTCTGTGCGGAGCATCTGCATCTTGTTGCTGTTGCTTTTCTCGTGTTCTTTCAGCTCAGACTGTTGCCGGTTTAAGACTTCTTCAAGCTCCTTTCTGGTGACGTAGTTAGACGAAGGGGAGCCGTTCGCTGCGGTCGAACTCAGCAGTCCCGAGTTAGCGGGGGTGGTGATCGCGTCGGAGACTCTCGTCTTCGGGTCTGTGCTCGTCTTCGCCTTCTTCGGTGATTGGGGACCACGTTCCGGACGCGCGGTTGCGGAAGGGCCAATTCCCATTCCAGCACCTTTTTGAACTTTTTGCCCATTCCAGCACTCTCGCAAACTTTTTGCCCATTCCAGCACCGTTTCCAAACTTTTTGCCCATTCCAGCACTATCGCAAACTTTTTGCCCATTCCAGCACCTTTTCCAAGCTTTTTGCCCATTCCAGCACTATCTCCAAACTTTTTGCCCATTCCAGCACTATTTCCAAACTTTTTGCCCATTCCAGCACTATTTTCGAACTTTTTGCCCATTCCAGCACTTTATCCAAACTTTTTGCCCACTCCAGGCTGGAGCAGATCCAGCACTCGCAGTGACTCGTTTTGCCCATCATTGTGTGCCTATCACAGTACGTACATTCTGAAGTCGTTGCCGTCATGAATCCATGCCTTACTGGGTCACAGTGAGCGCACCGGACAGTCAGTCCGTTGCGGTGCGACTGATACACGGGTTTTCCTGCGGTAGCAGCATCTAATTTTACCGCAGCACAAGCAGCATCCGTACAAGAAAACTCTGATCCCTCTTCTACTGTCATGGGATCGACTCTTTCCCCCAGAAATTGTTCCAAATCTGTGACACTTTTCGTGGAATGAGTGATATATAGCTAGAAATAGCTACATGTAGCTGGCCAAATAGCTAGCTAAGTGTCGCGGCATTTTTTCCCCCCTACCCCAGGGTTTTCACCAAATCTGTGACACTTTTCGTGGAATGAGTGATAAATAGCTAAAAAGAGCTACATGTAGCTGGCCAAATAGCTAGCTAAGTCTCGCACTGTCTTTTCGGCATTTTTGCCCCCCTACCCCAGGGTTTTCACCAAAAAAAACTTTTCGAAATCTCAGCCATTCTGAGCCAGTGGCTGCCACTGGCTGCAGTGGCTGTCCCCCACACTGCGTGACACGTTTGTCAAGTTGTCAGTGACTGTTGTGAAACCTTTGTAGGCTATTACGAGCCACTGCGCAAGCGTACTAAGTAGCGTGATGAACCCGGTTTTGTCATCAGTGGTCGGCGGGTCGCGAAGGGCGACGCCCAGTGCTGTGGCGTCGCCATCTCGAGATCTACTGCTGCGGCCTGCCGGTCGTAGAAGATTCCGCAAAATCAGTGGAGAAGTAGACTCCTACTGTAGAGTGATTTTGGAACGACCCGTAGTGTAGGTGGCGCACGTCGGCGGAGCGTTTGTAGGTGGCGCTTTGGTGGGCGCCCTTGGACGAAATCGGCTCGTGCAGCTTGGCTACGTGTTGTCCGGACTGTCTCCGTCTTGGCCGCATGACAAGGCGACTTCTGTAGAAGAAAGAAGAGAAGAAAAAGGCCGCTCCTGGTCCAGGAACGTGACGGTCAACCACAGCTTGCAAAGCTTGAGTCGGAGGCAGCACAGTGCCACAACCCCGTCCGCTCTGCCCTGCGGCTGACCGTCTCGACGAGCTTGCGTTCAGCCGCGAATCAGCGCGAGCGCCAAGAGGTGCGCCAAGCCTTGATGCTTTAGTCTGGGAAATCGGGAGCCACTTGACCCGTAGGCCCGTGGCTGCAGTACCGCCGAACACGTGAAGCTTGGCTCCCGTGTATTTAGCCCCCCCCTGCAGATGGTAAAACCCGAAGGTATGGAAATTGCAGTGTTGATTTTGCCATAATATTGGTAAAGGGTGGTAATACTAATAGTGCTTGAATGGGCAAAAATTTTGGAAATAGTGCTGGAATGGGCAAAAAGTTTGGAAATAGTGCTGGAATGGGCAAAAAGTTTGGGCAGAGTGCTGGAATGGGCAAAAAGTTTGGGCAGAGTGCTGGAATGGGCAAAAAGTTTGCGATAGTGCTGAAATGGGCAAAAAGTTTGGAAATAGTGCTGGAATGGGCAAAAAGTTTGAAAATGGTGCTGGAATGGTAATTGGCCCGTTGCGGAAATGCGCAGGTTGACGCCATCCACGGTATACGATGTCATCGACGGAGGAGTCAAACTCCTGACGAACCAGAACCAACCATCCGCGTCAGTGCCCGGCTTTATGGGCGTCGCATCCCACTCGACCTTCTCCAGTGCAGCAGCCAACTGGCTTCGATTAGCCCCTTCTGGAATGCCGTGAACCTTATGAAACGTGGTTGTGTCAGGCGTACCTCCGAGGAGGCTGGCGGACGTAATGTGGGAACCAACATCAACTCGTACGCCAAGTCCAAGGGAGGTAGCAACGAGGCCCCAGTGTGAGATGCCGGTTACCTCTACACGATTCCAACTGTCGTTAGCCTTCGTTTTATCGTGCTCATTGAGCCAGATGAGGTCGAACCTTTTCCGGTCTGCGAATGTTTCCCTGTTCAGCAGCTGCGTGGAAAACAGCGCCTCCCGGCCGGAGGAAGTCATGAGCGTGTCAATGACCGTAGGTTGATCGAAGTAGAGAGTCGAGTAGACGCGGTGGCCCGGTTCACCTTTCACAGCTGGTCTGCATAATCTTCCCTCGAAGCTACCGAGAACACGCGTAAGCCGTTGTTTCACTTCGGCCATGATCTGCTCGAATGCAACAGCGCCGGAAACCCCTTCATGAAGCTGCAACACGACGCCCTTGTCTTTCGGCTTCTGCCAGATACTTGCCACGGCGTTGGACATTTTGAATAGTTGTTTTTCGATTTTTCGAGACTGGAGGTCCTATGAACATGCAATGTGAATAGCCTCTATTCGAGCCAACCCCACTTTTAAAAGTGTATTGTTTTTGAACTAGATAATAGCGCGGAGCTGGCTTTTTCTCCCCCTGGGAAAATGTATATGGGTGGCAGAGTGAGCGGGTGTCGGCCTTCAGGCCGGTGTGTCCGGGTTCAAACCCCGCCCATGACACTTTTCCGGTCGAAGATTATTTCGAGGTTTGCTGTCGTTTCGGGGCCTGATGTGCCCGAAATTTGCGTTTTTTGCGGAGTTTCTCAGCCCCCCGGAGAAATACCGGAGGGGGGGGCGGCGGGAAAAGGCTGCCCCAGGGCGGCCCCCCCCCGTGCTGGGCCCCGGGTACGAGGCCAAACTTTACACCCGAACTTAGCTTCGCCCGGACTTTGTTTCGCCCGAACTTAGCTTCACCCGAGCTTTGCTTCGCCCGAACTTTGCTTCACCTAACTTTGCTCACCCGAACTTAGCTTCGCCCGAACTTTGTTTCGCCCGAACTTTGTTTCGCCCGAACTTTGCTTTCGCCCGAACTTTGCTTCACCCGAACTTTGCTTCACCCGAACTTAGCTTCGCCCGAACTTTGCTTCACCAGAACTTAGCTTCGCCCGAACTTTGCTTCACCCGAACTTAGCTTCGCCGAACTTTGTTTCGCCCGATCTTAGCTTCACCAGAACGTCCGAACTTTGCTTCACCCAGAACTTAGCTTCGCCCGGACTTTGTTTCGCCCGAACTTAGCTTCGCCCGAACTTTGCTTCACCAGAACTTTGCTCACCCGAACTTAGCTTCGCCCGAACTTTGCTTCGCCCGAACTTTGTTTCGCCCGAACTTAGCTTCACCCGAACTTTGCTTCACCAGAACTTAGCATTGCCCGAACTTAGCTTCGCCCGAACTTTGCTGTTCCCCGAACTTTAACTGCTGCCTCCAGTCTCGCCACGCGCCGGCCTTAGCCGAGCGCACGTACTTTTTTTTTTTTTGGAGCGCGGGACACTGTACTCGACATGTTAGTACAGCGGGGCTGCCGGTATCCGGTTGCTTCCGGAGCGGGAGCCCAAAAAAATGCTTCTTCAGCACACAGTGAACGCCAGTCTCACTGCGACCTGGGCTGGCCTGCTAGCAAGCAGGTCCGACCAGGTAAAAAAACCCGCGATGCAGTGACACTACCCCCTGCACCAGGGTGGACCGCTTCGTCCGGTCGCGCCCCGCCAGATGAAATGACTATTCTTGCCACCCCCTGGGCTACTTGAAAGCTCAATTGGTTTTTTTTTTAAAATATCGGGCCCCATGGTGTAGCGGTAGCACTTTGGATTCCAAATCCAATAACGGCGGTTCGATTCCGTCTGGGGTCATTTTCCGACGATTCGGCGAGAACAGTTTTTAACTTTTTGCCCGGTCAAAATTATGGAATCTTTGGGGAATTTGTAGTTTTTTCACTTGTGAATTTTTCGAGACTGGAGGTCCTATGAACATGCAATGTGAATAGCCTCTATTCGAGCCAACCCGGCTTTTCTTGCAACAATTATGAAACCGTATTGTTTTTGAACTGGATAATAGTTCAGAGTAAGCTTTTTTCCCTTCTGGGAAAATGCACGGGGGTGGAGCGGGCGCCGGCCTTCAGGCCGGTCGGCCCGGGTTCGAACCCCGCCCCTCACACTTTTCCGGTCGAAGATGGTTTTCGAGGTTTGTTGTTGTTGTTGTTGTTGGGTTTCGGGGTCTTATGTGCCCGAAATTTGCGTTTTTGGCGGAGTTTCTCAGTATCTCGCGGTATTTGGTCACCCCGGGAAACGGAGTCGGGCGGCCGAGCTTGCCATCACAGGCCAAACTGCTACGAGAACCGAACTTTGCTTAGCTTCACGCGAACTTTGCTTCGTCCGAACTCAGCTGCGCCCGTACCAGAATTTAGCATCGCCCGAACTTTGCAGCGCCCGAACTTTGCTTCGCCAGAACTTAGCTTCGCCCGAGCGTTGCTTCGCCCGAACTCAGCTGCGCCCGAACTTTGCTTCACCAGAACTTAGCTGCGCCCGAACTTAGCATCACTCGAACTTATTATCGTCTGAACTTAGCTGCGCCCGAACTCTGCTTCGCCGGGGGGCGGCGGGGGGGTCCGGGGGGGCGCAAACCCGGGTACCAGCGCCAAACTTTTCCCGTACTCGGTGGGTCGGGGGGGGTGTCCCCCCCCGGGCACGAGCACCGACCTTGGCTTCACTGGACTTTACCACCCTGGCCGAACTTCGCTCGTGCCGGAACTTTTTTTTAGTACCAGCGCAGCCTGAGCGCTTAGCACCAGAACTTAGCAACGCCCGAACTTAGCAACGCCCGAACTTAGCATCACTCGAACTTAGCTTCACCAGCATTGCCCGAACTTAGCTTAGCCCGAACTTTACTGTTCCCCGAACTTTAACTGCTGCCTCCAGTCTCGGCCTTAGCCGAGCGCACGTACTTTTTTGACAGATAATACACGAGAGATTTTTTTTTGACCGATAATACACGTGGCAATTTTTGGTGTGACAAACGTGTACACGTGAATCATTCTGATGAGTCTCAGAGAGAGGTCACAGTGAGGGTAGGCGTTTTTTGATGGTTTCTTTTTCTGATGTTTTTTTTTTTGGGGGGTCTTCGTTTTTTCAAGAGCACACCCACGGGGGTTGTTTAGGGGATCCCCCGGGTGTTTCATTTGATATGATTCTTGATTTGATCTTTTTCAGCAGACAAGGAAGAAATGAAAGACATTGAATCTCAGCAGCCCGACAACAACGGCGTCACTGTCGAAGGCAGGAAGCACAAGTTCGGCAGTAGTTCAGGTCGCAATCAGTGCATGTCCACGACGGCGTTATGGCGGCATGGTTCCACCGCGGCCGGTGACCGCCTCCTCTTTCCGCTCGGTACTGACAGGCATGGGCCTGGCTTTCTGTCACACATCCACACACCTGTCGCACGGGGCACACAGTTTTGGCCGCATGCACACAGGGGGCCAGGGAGGATGAAAGGGGAAACTGCGTTCTCGGACTCGGACTCCGAGTCGGAGTCTGAGTCCAAGTCTGACTCAGACCCGGAGTCTGATCCGGACTTCGAGTTTGACCCGGACTTTGTGTCTGACTCTGACTCCAAGTCTGACTCAGACTCTGAGGCAGGCTCGAGCGAGGGGGGAGGGTTGGCCGCTGCCTGGCCCTTTGGGGCTGGTTTGGGTGAGCCTTCGCGGCTGGCTTTTTGCATGTTCTGGCTTGGTGTCCGAAGTCGAGGCAATTCTTGACTTGTACTGACGTTTTTCCCCGCACGAAGCCAGTCGGGTTTGGCTGTTCGCGTTTTGCGGACGCGGAGGTGGTTGTGTGCTGTCGCTCTTGAAAGTGCTCAGTGAGCGGTGCCACGTCACCGTTGTCCACTCCCGTTGCCTATCCGATATAGGCTATCGTGTGTGTGATGTGAAAATTCACCGTAAAAATAACGCAAAATTCGCCCAACATTCACGTGTACACGTTTGTCACACCAAAAATTGCCACGTGTATTATCGGTCAAAAAAAATTTGCCACGTGTATTTTCGGTAAAAAAAAAAGTGACGTGTATTATCGACACAAAAAAAATTCACACGTGTAAAAACTACAAATTCCCGAATCTTTGCAAATTTTCCGAGACTAGAGGTATGCTAATAGCTCTATCGAGCCAACCCGAAGCCCGGGGGCACTTTTTCGTAGTGTTTTTTTGGGTCAGAATTTTTGTCAGCGGCCATAGCTTTTTTGGCCCTCTCTCTCTCCTCTCTCCTCTCTCTCCTACAGGCAACTGTAGGGAGGGGGGAGGGAAGGGGGGGGGGGCAGCGCTCTTGTTTAGGATCAGCCACTTTGGCCGGATGGCCGGATAAACCAGACCCCCCCCCCCCCCCCCCCCCCCCCCCCCAAAAAAAAAAAAAAAAGAAGAAAAAAGACTCTGCATTCCGCGAAGAAGACTTGATGCTAGCATCAAACACTTAGAGGCAAGTAGCGCCTGAACACGAAACTAAGATTTTCCCCCTCTACAGTGCAGTTGCCTTGGAGGCTGGGTGGTCAAATTCTCTAAGGTGAAATGGTCAAAATTCCCTGCCAAAAGTGGGCCCACAAAAATTTTCCAAAGTGTGGTATTTGGGGTATTTGGGGCAAAAAAAAAATTTTTTTTTTCTGACCGCCCACCGTGGTGACCACCTTAGAGTGTGACAGGTAGCGTCTCCCCCCTCCACAGTGAAAATAGCCTGAGGGGGGGGGGGGGGGGGGGGGGGGTCAGCCGGCTGATGGATGGATGGATGGTTCTTAACAAGATGCCTGGGGGGGGGGGGGGGGGGGGGAGGGACGCGTGCGCGTCGCCGACCCCCCCAGTTCGGGAAAAGGGGTCATGCCCAATATAGGAAAGGGGGTCCTCCCCTCCTGGAAGCTCTAGAGCTCCAGGAGGACGGAAGGATCACTACCTCTCCAGTTGGGTAAGCCAGGTGACTCTCGCGTGCTGCTCTCTCTTCTCTCTCTCCTCTCTCTTCTCTCTCCTCTCTCCCTACAGGCAACTGTAGGGAGAGAGGGAAGGGGGGGGGGAGGGGGGAGGGACGCGTGCGCGTCCACAAAGTAGCCACAACCTTGTGGCTACTTTTGTGGCCAGGTGGATGGACACCTTCAGTCTGTCAGAAGTTCAGATGAGGTTGACGGGTTTTAGGGCCAGCATTTGGGCCAGCTGCTACGCCGTTTCTGCTAATTCTGGCTGAAATTCTGCTGAACCACGTCGCCGGCCAAGACTGAGAAGAAAATGGCAGTTGTTGTCAACATTCATCCAAAATTCCGGGCCAAATAATCCCAATGTCACCTTCGTAGTGGCCGCACGCTTCGCGTGTTCCGCGCACTTGACGAGCACGCATTCCGAAGCTCTCCACTCACCGCGGCGGTGAGAGGAGAGTTTTCTTTGCAGCTTTCTAGTTTCATTCAAATCGGACTGGCTGCTGTGGTACTTTACCGCTCTCTGCGGCGGTGTCTGCCACGTGGGGACTGTTCGAGAGTGGGAACGGCCCTCGGCTTCAGCACCGAGTCAATCCACTCTTGGAGCGACAAACGAACACACGGAGAAACTTCAACTCTATCAGAGGGCAGCCGAGCCCCTCGGTTCAACGAGTTGGTAGTCAAATACAATATTTCGAGACTGGAGGTCCTATGAACATGCAATGTGAATAGCCTCTATTCGAGCCAACCCGGCTTTTCTTGGTGCAAAAGTGTATTGTTTTTGGAAAGCGCTGCGCTAGCTTTTTTTTTTTCCGTCGTTGCGGGCCAAGTTGCCGCGACAAAGCCGGCCTGGACGGCGAGCGGGGCGGGGGTCCGAGTCAGACGGCCGTCTGACTTTTTTCTGACTCGGAAAGAAGTACGAAAACACCGGTCCGAGTCGGTCCGAGTCGGTCTGAGTCAGACCGACTGCGAAGTATGAAATGCTGCTCGGAATCTGCTCCCTCTGTACGGGGGCACAGAAACCCACGGTTGATTAGCATGGAAACACAGTTGTATTCCAAGACAGTTGTATTCGAAGACCACGTTCTGCCGCGAACCTGCATTTTGACCTTGACGCTTTGAACACAACGGGCGCTCGTTGTATATAGCCCCCCCCCCCCCCCCCCCCCCCCTGTAAATCGTATTTTGATAGCACAAAAAAAGGCTACAAAAGGCTACAAAAAGCTACAGGAGCTACAGTAGCTAGAAACTGTAGCAGCTATAGCTGCTACAAGAGGCTACTGTAGCTAAACCTCACACAGTGGCGGAGAGACGTAATAAAGTGTCAAGCGACGAGTATTTTGATCCATGTGAATATGGAACAAAACGGGGAAAACATTTCAATGTTTAACAAACCACACAGGCAAATATGTCGACCGAAGTTGGTCCGCGCCCAGGACTGGGCTTTACATCGTCTCACGGTGTGTATGCACCTGGCGTCGAGAAATCGTGGGCATTCGCTGGGAACTGATTGCTGCAGTGCTCCGTCTTGTTCTTGCCTTCTTGCTTTTTGTCTTCGAAGTGTAGTTTTTCCTTTCTGGTTCCTTTGGGCGTTCGTCTGATACGGTCTCGTTTCTTCAAGGGCCCCCACCCAGCTCCCCTCCATTTTTTTCGGTTGTTTGGTCTGTTCGAATTAATTAGCCTCTTCTACGCCTTTCGGTTTGTCTCAGTTATTCGGCGGGTACAAGAAGTTGTTGCGTCAGCGGTACAGAAATGAACACACATTGATATCAATACAAACCCGGATTCTGAATAGCCGCCAAATTATCACCAGTTGCATACAAGCGAACTATCATGGTGTACAGCACTTGCGCGACAACTGTTTTCGATGCCGGATGCCTCAGATAGACCCGCCAGGTTGGTCAGCC